TATATATGAAAAATATATCAAAATGCATGTGGGTACTCAAATGAAAGCTCTTGATAAGCGTAACATCGGGATGAGTTTACATCTTTAAAAACGTCAATAGTTAAAAAAGTACATTGCAATTTAACAAAAGTCATTATTTAATAAAGCAAAATTTTAATTATTTACAGTCCACAAGTGCCGGCAGTCACATAGTGACTGCAAGGTTGCTAGTAATTATTAAAATTTAAAAAATAATAATAATAATTTCTCGTTATCGTTCGGCATTTCGATCGGCTGTCATGTAAATATTCTTGTAGATATTTTTAAAGCATAATTAATAAGCTAAATATAGAACGAAATGAGTGTAACGCTAAATAAAACGGGTAAGGAATTTACAAGCCGGAGATCCGAGTACGTAGTAGTATTAAATAGAGAGAGAAAACGTAGTTAAGAAGCTTGAGTGGAGTATAAGAGTGTGTAAGAAACAAACGACAGTCCGCTAATGCATTTCCGATGTACAAACTAAATCGACAAATTTACACTGCAGTTACGCATAATTATACTTTATTTATGTGATAAACCTCCTTGGCTATTAGTACCCGTTTATTTGCGTAATGACCAGCTAGATAATCGCGCTAGTAAGTTTGTTATTTTATACATGTATGTCGCTTATGAGATTATTTTATTTTCAGCATTAGAAGGCTCTTTTGCTGGGTGTTGAAGGGACAAAAACATTTATTAAGTGAAAATAACGCTAATGCGCTCGTGATGCACATCGAGGTGTTTGCGCTCGAGGTGTGCAATTATTTTCGAATTTTTCATCGCGGATTTTTAATAAAAGGATGATGATAATGACTTAGGGCTCATGAGGAGATTAATCAAATTTACGCATTTGCAAATCAACAATTTTTTTTGTCAAGGTATTAAATTAAGGTTTAAGTGAGTAACAATTGAAAGCATGTGAATAATTTATTTTATAATAATAAATAAGAAAAATAATAAATAATAACTTTTATTTTTATGCGCTTAATTACATTTTTATCACTATAATTATTTGAATTAAATTTTTATTATTTAATTAATATTAGTTACTTTCATTTAATGATTTAATTGCTGTATCATTAACCGTATCTGTACATATATAACAAGATAATACAAGCAATACATTTTAATCAAATGATAATATTTGTCCCTATACAAAAAATTTTAAAGTATTAGAAGATGATTTTAAGGGATTAAAAATATTTTTCTGTTCGAGATTAAAAATTTCTTGATCAATTTAATTGACATAAATATATAATAATAATAAAAAACTTGAAATTAAGCTTATGTTGAAGGATTGATAACTCGCAGAGCCTGGTAATGGAGTGTCTGATTCCCTGACTCTTACCAAAAGACTAAATGTCGAGAAACCGACACTCGAATATTTACCGACAAAATCAACCCGAGCTTTGCCTCCGGTTAATGTTGTTTTATTGGGCATATATAACTTTAAGGTAATCCACCAAACATTTTGAACTCTCGTAAACATCCAGCCCCTCAATTTCCAAAACAATCTTATCACTGCGGCTTCCATATATTCTCCATTCACATTTGGTGAAAGAACTTTCAAACAACTGATCAGGTACCATGATTAATCCAGTAGGACCAATAAATGTATCTCCACATTCTGGAATAGGTTTTAATTTATTATTACGAGGACACTCGAAGTGCACACCCCAATGTGGATCATCTATGAAATCTAAATATCCAGATTCGCCTGAAAAAACGAGACCTATAGCGTGACCCATTTCACGGCCAATGCTAATAGGGTGACAATCATCGCTTATAAACACGATATTTGCTCCTTTTTGATGTCTCCCCAATTGACTCTCGCATCTGTAATTAATGTTTTTTTGGTAATTGTTAGAAAATGTTAGAATCTGAGAGTATATAAAATATTTTCTTTGACATAAAAATTAAATAATGGACAAAATAGAATTTTTGATAGAAAAATAAAATTTTTACCTGTCTGATTTTATGAAAGTCAAATAATTTGAATGTTGGGTTTCGTCTCGAGCAACAAATTTAATACAAGTTCGGGACTTCCAGAACCTCATCGCTACGGCAATGGCTCTGTTTATATCCCAACTAAAACCATTCTCGATTACGAAAGGAATAATACCTTCATCCCATCGACGGCTATTATTTACTGCAACTCTTGTATCTATGAGAAACACATCAAATTCATAAAAATAAGTTTCTTTTGTTGGCACTTGCCCGTACGAATTCGTCATTGACTTCGTTTTATTGGTATTCTTATCATCATTTTTAATGGACTTCGTTTGATTAGCATTTTTATTAGTATCTTTCAATGACTTCGTTTCATTGACATTTTTATTATTATCTTCCATTGAATTTGTTTTAATGGGACTCTTTCCATTATTTTCTAATGGTTTCATTTTATTAACATCCTTTTCATCAGTTTTTCCAACATTATCCTCCATTGGCTCCATTTGATTGGCATTTCTATCATGATTTTTCAATGACTTAGTTTCATTGACATTTTTATTATTATTATCTTCAATTGAATTTGTTTTAATGGAACTCTTTCCATTATTTCCCAATGGTTTCATTTTATGAACATTATTTCCATCAGTTTTTCCAGCATTATCCTTGATTGGCTTCATTTTATTAGTTATTTTATCATTATCTTCCATTAAATAAATAAAAAATAAATTCTAAATAAATAGACCTGATGGAACCTGGTCAACAACGGTATTATGACTACTATCATTTGCAAGTGTGAGATTCTGTAGGAATTTAAATTAATTATAGTTTATTCAACTTAATCATAAAATAAAATAAAATAATAAATTTTGCCCACTTCAAATTTTTCCGAATTTTCATAATGCTGTATAAAATCTGACCATCTTTTTTTAAAAATCGCTCGAGGTCCCGCTTTGTCAAATAAGTCTTTAATAGTTTCGTCGTCGAGGCATAAAAATGCTTCTTGAGTTATCTTTTGTTCTACAATTTATTTTTATACATGAATGTGTGTAGAAACATTTAATTTGTATAATTTTTTTTTTTAAAATGGTACATGAAAACTAAATAAATATTATCAAAAATGTGATACTAAAGTTAGTTGACAACTGTCAATTTTTTTTTTAATTTTTATAACAAATCAATGACAGTAAAAAATGCTTCTAAAAATTTTCACTAAGAATTTTTTTTTAATTCTCACATGTGGAATTTTTTTATTAAATTTTTTACGTAATAATTTTATTGCTAAAAGGTTCTAAAAAAATTTCTAATGTCTTTCAACTTCAGTGTCATTCAAAAACTTGATAATTTAATATGTAATCTATTTTTTAATTCTTAATTACTTATTTTTTTTTTTTATTTATCCATACAATTTTAAAATAAAAATTAACAAAAGATTAGAAGAATGAAATGTTTTGATTTTATAATGATGAGGTTTGAGGTTGGTTGTTCATATTTTATGACAAATGATTACTTATCAATAAATTGATTTTTTTAATCAGTAAGATTCCATTCTTGTAAAATTTTTCCTACCCACGAATCCATATTTAATTAAAACAAATATTTGTCATTTTTTTTTAATTGATCACTGGCACAAAAAAACACGTGTGTCACTTTTATATGGTCCGGATAAATATGTTTTGTCCGGTAAGAGGGCGTTGTAAGAGAAATGTAGTTGGCGATTCTAGCTATCTAACAGATCGCTTCAGTAGCCATACCGTATTGCTGCTGTAGGAATACACAATGCTACAGTAACTTTCTACGAGTAGGTATCTAATAGATGGCTCCAGCAACAATATTTTTTTTTTTCCGTGAAGTCTTATTTAATTGGTAAAAAATTACCAAAGTCTAAATAGAGTCCTAATTTTTTAATCACACAATTAAAAAATTAAGTACATTTTAATTTAAATGATTTATTAATAGTAATTAATTACAGACTTAATAATTAGCTTCATAAATTCGTCTCGAGAATAACGAAGGGTAATCATGTGAAAACGAGTGCGTCAAAAATGGTTAAAATAAAAACAAGAAAAGTAAAACTAAAAAATAAGAAAAGTTACCAAGTTAAACTTCATTAAATACGATACGTTACGGTTGGTGGTGTAGGGGTTTAATTAAGAAAGACGCGTCGTTCATTCTATCTTAATTGCTGGTAGGAGCAAATTAGCATGGGATTAGCATGAAATTAAAGTCCTTTGAAAAAAATATCCCCGGTAGGAGCATCGCCGAAGGAGCTCCCGTTCACCCGCATATATTTATTATATATTATATATTCTATATGTACATCCGCTGTGCATATATGTACGAGCTGGTATGAGTCTTTTTTTATTTTTTTTTATCTTTTACTCGCGCAAAGGCATAAATAATCTTCGCCTTCTCCGTAATAGACACTTTACATTTTGATAGATACGTGTGTACATTTAATTTGTACCGTGTTTATAAAATAATTTACATTTGACAAGTTTTAAATAAATAGTGATAGAATTTAAATGACTTTCTGCGGGTTGAGTTTGGCACAGCACGAGAAGAGGTTCTTAGGCAGATAAGAGTACTTCCGTGATGTGTGATATGTGATATGGGATATGATATTCTGTTAAAATGGTAATCTTACCAGAAGGTATTTCTATGTGTATATAGAATTAATCATTTTCCCGTAGGCGCCACTCGTCTTTTCACCCTCCACTATCCGTGAGAGAACTCACTATCTAGACGTTTTGCAATAAAACAGTAGACGTTACTTCGTTATATGTATACATATATATACCCATTTTATATACCTGTAAAATATATATAAATATAAGGAGTTATATACAAAAGTTAATGACCATGATTATCAATAATAACCGCAACTTATCATAAATTTTTTTTACAACTACGATGACAGAAGCCATTTTTTATATATCTGTAAATAAATGTATTTATTTATAGTCTTAAAATTAAAAAAAAATTCATTTTTTTAATTTTAGAGTCTTCTGATAATATTTAAAGATATTATATGAAAAAAATTTGGGTTCAAATTTTTGCTATAGCTTAAAAAAAAATTAAAATTCTTTTGAGATAAAAAAAATTTATTTTATATTTTATACATTTTTTAAAAATATTTTCTTGAGCCAAAAAAATTTATTTTAGAGCCAATAATTTTTGCTTTCTATCTAGATTTAAAAATAAATTTATAGTATTTACAGTAAAACAGAGAAAATTAACTAATAAAATTTTTTATACAAATTCTATATGTTTTTAACTTTATTTTTGATGAATATTTTTCACATAAATTTTTTTTAACGTCAAAAAACAATTAACAATTAGATATTTATCTGATAAATAATGAATTTCTTGTAATAAGCATAATTGAAAACACTTGAATGAATATTAAAAAAAAAAAAAACTCCATCTTTTCATAAGTATTTTCTGAACAGATCAAATTTAGATGATTAAATATGAGTAATGATCATAATGCGGAAAACAATAGGTCATTACTTTCAATGAGATTAATGTTTACCTCCGACAAACACTATGATTAATTTAAAAAGAATCCCCTGGCTTGTTCACTCTTTTTAATAACAACAAAAAAACTAAACCCGTTTAAATAAATAAAAAATTAAAGAAAACCCGATATTCAAAGCAGCACCAAATTTATGTGTATTAATCTAAACAATGCATAATATCTGATCATTTAAACAGTATAATAGCGAAATATAGAGGTATATTTACCCGAGATTGTTCTAGACCCTCCAGAGGCTCCAACCAAGGAATGCGAACAGTGCACATTACCCGGTGCAGAGAATAGGAGCTGACTCTTCCTCGTAGCGTCTTCCCTCGAGATCTCTTAGCATCGGGATTAACCTCGTTTTCTCGTTTGTTTGCTCACCTACAGCATCCACAATCCACACACCGCTCTATCGCCGAGCTAAGTGGCCCCACAAAGATCACCATCGCTGAATTCGTAAATAAATAAATTCATAAGCCAAAAAAAAAGAGATTTATAATTCCCAACAAAAAAAACAATTTAAACCAGATATTATTTTGCCATTAATACCAACTCGTTTCTGCTCGCCAATCATATATAATTTTTTATTTACTGGAATTTATCTTTTTTATCGTTTTTGCCTCAGCATCCTATCCCGGTTGTAGATTTTTTGCAGCTGTTGTAGTTAAAGATACATTTATTTTGTATGGGATTTTTTTAGGTACTATTGTATATCGCGTGAATAAACAAGGATACTTGAATTGTTTATTTTTTATTTTTATTATTTTTTTTTTAATATATATAAATGTATACACGAAACCAGTGTTTTCCCACTACATCGAGAAAACAAACGTTAAAGCCGACGAATTGCTGATGCGTGGCATTCCACTTACTCGCAAAAGGAGATCGGCACGTGAGTATAGTTACTACATAAATAAATAAACATATATACATATATATGTCGTTAGTGAAATAAAAGGTGACTCGTAAAGTATGACAACTATGAAGATAATAAGAGAGAGAATAATAATGTTTGTTAAAGTTTATTTTAATGTATGATATTTAAAGTTTAACATACAGCCCAAGACTCGTTAGTAATTGAATTTAATCATCATACTTATTTATATTATTATTATTAGTATATCATTAAAAGTAGTATAATTTTTTTAATGAATTTATGTTTAATTTTCAAAATTTATTCAATAATCTTAACAATAATAAAACTCTTAAATTAAGATTTTTATTATAATTCTTTTTGTTTTTATTATGGAATATAAAAAGTTATTGTTTTTATTGAATAATAAGTAGACATAAGAGTCAGTGTATTACCTTGTATATGATAGTTGGCACTTGACTCTCCGCGAACCAATAACAATAACAATGGGATTTTGAATAGAGAATAATAGCAAAGCATGAGATTATTTGAGACCTGAGTGGTTATAGGAGTAAGAGACTTTGTTGAGAAAAGGATAGTATCCCGGGTAATTGCCTTTTAGACTAAGTCTGAGAGACGTTCGTTTCCTTTATTTGCCCTTTCGTTTTTTATTTTGCTCTTTCTGCTTTATTCCGCCTGTGTAAGTGTATAAGCTTGCTTGTGTGGGAGATGCTGCTGTTGCTTTTATACGAAGTTAACCTCAGAAGGTTTTATTCGAGTATGTGATGCTTCATGCAAAAAGGCTATTGTAATTTAAACGGTACGACACGCGAGACCACCATGTTGGATATCTATATATAATGTGTAACGCATCGTATAGTATTTTTATTATTTATATTTAAGTAGATAAATATAAGCAGTAGTATTGTGTTTTTTTTTCTTGGTTTTTGTTCGGGTTCAATTGGGGCGAGGCTAGAGGACCACCGGAGGTGTTACTTATGTTATCAATTATTGTGATTGTAATGAAAAGGAAAATAGTTTTCGATGATTTTTATCGCTGTTATAAAGAGCTTAAATTGATGCACAAATTTTTTTTTTGGGAAAAAATTTCTTTATTAAATTTTTTGATATTTCTTTTTTACAATTTAAATTTTATAAAATTTTGTTGCTGAAATTTTATTTTATTCTACCGAATTTATTTTATAAAATTTTTTGAAATTTATGGTGTCTTTTAATCCATAAAAAACTTG